GCGGGATCTCGGCTCACCGCAACCTCTGCCTCCTGGGTTCAGGCAATTCTCCTGCCTCAGCCTCCTGAGTAGCTGGGATTACAGGCATGCACCACCATGCCCAGCTAATTTTTATATTTTTAGTAGAGACATGGTTTCACCATGTTGACCAGGATGGTCTCGATCTCTTGACCTTGTGATCCACCCGCCTCGGCCTCCCAAAGTGCTGGGATTACAGGCGTGAGCCACCGCACCCGATCTGCTATACCATCTTAACAGAGGCCCAAATGAGCAGGAGGAACCCTGCAAACATCTGGGGAACACTGTTCCAGGCAGAGGGAACAGCTAGTGCAAAGACCTTGGGAGGCAAGCATGCTTTGTACGTGGGAGAAACACAGCAAGGAGGCTAGTCTGGTCTGGGAGAGGAAGGAGATGGGGCCAAAGGGGATTGATGAGGATGAGACAAGATCACATAGGGCCTATGGGCCACAGTAAGGACTGGGGGATGTGTGATCTGGCCCACGTTCTAAAACGGCCCCTCTGGGCCGGGTGTTGTGGCTCACGCCTATAATCTCAGCGCTTTGGGAAGCTGAGGCAGTCAGATCCCTTGAGGTTGGGAGTTCACGACCAGCCTGGCCAACATGGTGAAACCCCATCTGTACTAAAAATACAAAAATTAGCTGGGCATGGTGGTGCATGCCTGTAATACCATCTACTCGGGAGGCTGAGGTTGGATGACAGCTTGAACCCGGGAGGCAGAGACTGCAGTGAGCCAAGACAGCACCACTGCACTCCAGCCTGGGCGACAGAGCAAGACTCCATCTCAAACAAATAAAATAAAATAAATAGTCCCTCTGGCTGCTGTGTGGGGGACAGACAGTAGAGCACAGGTGGAAGCAGGGAAGCCATGAGAAGGAAACTGTACTAGCCCAGCAGGAAGCCAGTGGTGGCTGAATCAGGATGGAGGGAGTGGGTGGGGAGAAGTGGTTGGACACTGGGGACATTTCCAAAGTATTCAACACGTTGGAGTTAGCACTGCCAAAAGCATAGGGGTGAGAGGTGAGCAGTCTGTGATTCCTTCACCCCTCCCCCACCCCAGGCCTCTCCATATTGCTGTGGTGCAGGGTAACCTGCAAGTTGTGCACCGGTTGATCAACCTCTTCCAGCAGGGGGGCCGGGAGCTCGACACCTACAACAACCTACGGCAGGTGAGGCTGGGGGATGGGACTCCTGGGTCTGAGGGAGGAGGGGCTGGGGGCCTGGACTCTTGGGTCTGAGAGAAGAGGGAGTCTGGACTCCTGGGTCTGAGGGAGGAGGGCTGGGGTCTGGACTCTAAGTAGCCAGGTGCTCCAGGCTCCTGGTTCCTGGGAAAGAAGGGCTCAGTGGCCTAAGGACCTTCTAGGTGAGGAGGGAGGGGGCTGGGGACCCAGAATCCAGGTACTAGGGAAAGAGGAGGTTGGAGGCCCCGTCTTCTGGGTCCTGGGGAAGGAGGAGCACGGAGAGGCTCTCAGGTTTCTGTTCCTGGGTGAGACTGCAGGGATTGATGAGGAGTCAGGGTTCAGAAAACCTGAGGGAGGCAGGACTGGAGACCGGGGCTGGACACAGGTCCCTCACCGTCACCGTTCTGCAGACACCGCTCCACCTGGCTGTGATCACCACATTACCGTCTGTGGTCCGGCTCCTGGTGACGGCTGGTGCCAGCCCCATGGCGCTGGACCGCCATGGCCAGACGGCCGCCCACCTGGCGTGCGAGCACCGCAGCCCGACCTGTCTGCGAGCCCTGCTGGACAGCGCAGCTCCGGGCACGTTGGACCTGGAGGCCCGCAATTACGACGGTAAGCATCTACCGCGGGACATGGCTGGGCTGTCCAGAGGACCTGCAGTCCATCTGCGGCCGCAAAGCCCCAGGCCTAGGTTTCACCGAGCCTTCCCCTCCCTCAGGGCTCACTGCCCTGCACGTGGCAGTGAACACCGAGTGCCAAGAAACCGTGCAGCTCTTGCTGGAGCGCGGCGCGGACATCGACGCAGTGGTGAGGCGCACTGGGAGCTGTGAGGGGCGGGGCTTTAGCAGGGGCGGGGCCTTCGCTGAGTGGGGTCTTTGCGGGGCGTGGCCTTAGCGGGGCGGGGCCTTTTTGCAGGGGCGGGGCCAGTGTGGGGTTGGCGTGGGAGAGCGCCCGGGTGGGGCGGGGCTTGGAATATCGGACCCATGAGAGAGGCTTGGACCCCGCGAATGGGATGCGAACGGGATGCGTGCCACTGGCTGCTGGAGCAGAGCTTGGAGAGACTCAAAGACCTTCCCCCCCCGCCGCAGGACATTAAGAGCGGCCGCTCCCCGCTCATCCACGCGGTGGAAAACAACAGCCTTAACATGGTGCAGCTGCTGCTCCAGGTGCGTACGGCCTTCCTGAGCCTCGCGCCCACCCCATCCTCTGACCCCCAGCCGGCCCTGGTCCCAGCCCCTAGCTCTGACCCCGCCTTCCAGTTCTGTCTCTGGCTCCAGCTCCGCATCCAGCTCTGACCCTTCCTTTAAGGCCTCCGCGCTCTCAGCCCTCGGACTCCACGCCCGTGGCTGCGAACATGTCCCATTCCTCCCCTGCCCTCTCAACAGCCTAGGCCCTACCCTGCGATGGCCTGGCCGACCCCGCCTTCCAGCTAGGCCCTGTCCCCGCACTGTCCTTCACCCCGTCAATTCCCCCCACCGCCCCCGACTCCTTGGGGCGCAGGCCTTAGTGTCCAGCTCCGGTTCATTCAGCGCCGCCAGCGCAGTCCCGCTAGGCCCGCCCTTGGCTCTTGCTCCCACCTTCCTGTGACCCCACCCCGATCCGGTGCTGCACCACGTGCCGGCCACCCACCCGGGCCCCCAGCGCCTGTTCCCCTACCCCCGGCGGCCCGCGCGCCCCCCTGACCCGGCCCTCCCGTCCCGCAGCACGGCGCCAACGTGAACGCGCAGATGTACTCGGGCAGCTCCGCGCTGCACTCGGCGTCCGGCCGCGGGCTCCTCCCGCTGGTGCGCACGCTGGTCCGCAGCGGCGCTGACAGCAGCCTCAAGAACTGCCACAACGACACGCCACTCATGGTGGCGCGCAGCCGCAGGGTGAGCTGGTGCGGCTGGGGGCATGCGCCTTGCACACCTGTGTCCGCGGGCAGGTGGCAGGCGAGTGTGCCAGGGCACAGAGGTGTGAGTGTGCCTGTGCCGTTTCGTGGAGGGGAGTGGGTGAGCCTCTGAGAGCGCGGATGTGAGTTCCAGACATGAGAGACTGGCACCAAGAAAGGAAGTGCCTTGCCTATCTTTTCCTACTGAGAAATGGAGAGGCCCCCACCTGGATCCAGCGAGCTAGGAGGGATAGAAGGAGGGAGGGCTGTGAGGCAGGGGTGGCTCTGTGGTGACACCCATCTGCCTACAGGTCATCGACATCCTGAGGGGGAAGGCCACCCGGCCTGCTTCCACCTCCCAGCCAGACCCCTCCCCTGACCGGAGCACCAACACCTCCCCAGAGAGCAGCAGCCGCCTCAGCTCCAATGGTGAGAAATGGGTCCCAACCTCTAGCCCTGAGGCCTCCTCCCTCAGACCCAGGAAACCCACAGCTCCTTCTCCCTCAGACCCAGGAGTCCAGGCCCCCAGCCTCCTCCCTCAGACCCAGGAATCCCAACCCACAGCCTCTCCTTTCTCAGATCCAGGAGTCCAAGATCCCAGACCCCTCTTTCCTCAGACCTCCAGCCTCCTACCCACCCCATCCTCTGACCCCAACGGGGCTCTGACCCCAGCCCCTAGTGCTGACCTCCCCTTCCAGTTGTGGCTACCACTTCTGCTGTGTGTCCAGCTCTGACCCTTTCTTTAAGGCCTCGTTCTCTCATCCCCTTGGATTCCAGGCCCCTGGCTTCAAACCTGTCCCATTCCTCCCCTGCCCCCTAACTGGCCTAGGCCACACCCTGTGATGGCCCCCCGCCCCTCCTCCCTCAGACCCCAGCCCC